AAAACTCAGATTTAAAAAAAAGTTCCATGATTTTCAGATTTTTGGAATTATGAATCATATATCTAAGATGTCGCAGTTATAAAATGTCACAGTTCTAAAATGTCACAGTTCTAAAATGTCACAGTTCTAAAATGTCACAGTTTTGAAGTGTCGCAGTTCTAAAATGTCACAGTTCTAAAATGTCACAGTTCTAAAGTGTCGGAGTTCTAAAATGTCCCAGTTTGAAGTGTCGCAGTTCTAAAATGTCGCAGTTCTAAAATGTCGCAGTTCTGAAAGGTCATAGTTCTGAAATGTCGTAGTTCTAAAATGTCGCAGTTCTAAAATGTCGCAGTTCTAAAGTGTCATAGTTTCAAGATGTCATAGTTCCAAAATGTCACAGTTCCAAAATGTCGCAGTTCTAAAATGTCGCAGTTCTGAAATGTCATAGTTCTGAAATGTCGTAGTTCTAAAATGTCGCAGTTCTAAAGTGTCATAGTTTCAAGGTGTCATAGTTTCAAGATGTCATAGTTCCAAAATGTCACAGTTCCAAAATGTCGCAGTTCAAAAATGCCACCGTTCTGAAATGTCGCAGTTCTACAAGAAATCCCAAAAATTCAAGAAACTTCTAAATTTCTAAAATTTCTTTTTAAAAATCTCATAATTCAAAAAAAAATCAAAACTGTCAAAAATTCCAAAAAACTCGGAAATTCCCTCACCGTACAAAATGCTCAAAACTGGGTTTCAGCGTCTTTCCAGCCTTCCGAATATTGATTTTTTCGCCTTTCTTCACGAAATAGTACGACCGGCTCCAAAAATTGATCAAAATCAGATATTCCGATTCACGGAAATTGATAAAATGGATTGTTGATTCGGCGCCCTGCAAAAGTTGTCTGTCTGTGTTTCCCGGTTGTCCAGATGTCCCCCCCCCTACCGTACCACTGGATATTCCTTTGTGAAGTTTTTCAGCAGCGATCCATGCTCAATGTCTATACCAAACTCTGACAACCGACGTTCTGAAATGTCATAGTTCCAAAATGTCACAGTTCTAAAGTGTCGCCGTTCTAAAATGTCGCAGTTCTAAAATGTCCAACTCTAAGATGTCGCAGTTCTAAAATGTCGCAGTTCTGAAACGTCGCGGTTCTAGGATGACCCTTTGTTTAGGATAGGTTTGATTTTGGAGGAAAAAAGTTGCGAAACGGTGTCAGTTTCAAAACGTCATAGTTCTAAAATATCGCAGTTTTAAAATGTCATAGTTCTGAAACATCACAGTTCTGAAAAGTCACAGTTCTGAAATGTCGCAGTTCTAAGATGTCGCCGTTCTAAAGTGTCATAGTTTCAAGATGTCATAGTTCCAAAATGTCATAGTTCTAAAATGTCATAGTTCTAAAATGTCGCAGTTCTAAAATGTCGCTGTTCTAAAACGTACGTTTTCGACCGCCAAAACTTCCGTCATCAATGAATGCCATTTGACGGAGGGAGACGAGATTCTCACGATCCAAAATTGCCTGGTCCTCTTTGATGCATGTGTCTGAAAATTTGTGTCTGAAAATTTCAGATTTTCAGACTTTTTTCAGGTTTTTCTCAACTTTTAGAATTTTGGGAATCGGCTCCGTGTCACTTCGAAACCGCGACATTTCGAAAAAAGAGTCGCGGCCCTTAATTGACCGGTCAACTGACGCCAAACTACACACAAAACTGACTCTATGAATATCATTTTTTTAATTTTTTAATTTTCTTTTTTTTAAATTTTGTAGGCTCGTGAAGTTGGATTTCAATCCACATAATCGGAAAAGAAGCGAAAAAATCAGCAAAATTTGAACAATTCTAGCCTTTTTATGGTGCTGAAAATGCGTGTCTTACACTGGTGTCTGATTGGTTTTCTCACTGCTGCGCTGCTCCCAGTCGAATCTAAATAT